TTCATTGCTTTGCCGTTTGTTTTCGATGGCCATGTACCTAGAATTTTATGGTCGCTCAGGATCTAACATATGCAGTTCTTGTTCTAGTCGCCTTCGGTGTGTGTCGTGTTTCGGACAGTCGAGCAAAAGTGACAGATATCCTCGTCGTCGTGGCCGCATGAACATGCTGACGATGTTGCACGATGGATACGAAGTAGGAAGTGCTGTGTGTAAGCAGTTCCGAGTCGTAGGCGATGAATGAGTGTGTCGATATGTCTTGGGATGTCATGGTCTAATTGGTACTCAAGATTAGAATCAACAAAATATAGGATCGATTCCTTTGTTTTGTCTGTGAACCAGGTAGACAGGTATAATACATGTTTTGTTGTTCTTAAAATTCTATTTACATCATTTTGAGATACCGGAATTAGTCATTTTTGCGTAGAATTATGAGCGGTTTTCGCCAACTCATCCGCCATTTCATTTCCCTTAATTCCGAAGTGACTGGGAACCCGCTGAAATGCCACTCGATGATTCGACTTCGTAGCTTCTGAGAGCTTTTTGGTATAGCGTAACTCTATACGCACATCAATGTGTCTTGAAGTGGCACTTTCCACGCATGCCAGTGCTGCCAGAGAGTCTGTAATTACCACCCATTTTCTTGGTGTCATTGACAGTTTAATAAAGCTTATGGCTTGCGAAATCGCTACGAGCTCCGAAGTTGTTGAAAAAGAGAGGTGGCCCAACCGACATGCATATTCTTCGTGCAATTCCGTAACTATGAATGCTGATGTCACTGTCTCTTTGGTGACGGAGCCGTCAGTGTACACGTGAGTGTATCCTTGGTACCTGTCAAACAGATGATGTGATGCCAACTGCTGAGCGGCAACGGTTGGCACTTCATGTTTGCTGCGAAATATCACACGAATATTCTGTCATGGCGATGAACGAGAATATGTAACGATGACCAGAAATATCATAATCATACCGACCTATAAGTGAATAGGAACGTACATGTAAAGAATAGAGATAATGACGGCGTCAGAAATAACAAAATCGAAAGACCCATTTGCTCGCCACCAATGTGTAACAGCATTCATTTCCGTAGAAACATCAACTTGTAGAGGCTGCGAGCTTCAGGTTTTTTTGTTGCAGTACGTGAGGCATACGGTGAACAAAGCCTTGCAACAATTCGCGCCAACATCGACAGTGGCGCCATTATTCGAAGCCATATAACACTCCTTCATATATGAACTGAATGGTGGACGGTTTCGAAATACGAGCAGTCGAGTGCATCGTTTCAGCATTATCTATGATACTCTTGTTTCACATTTACTGCATTCGTAAGGCTTCGAACTTGAGCCGCCTAATATTAGCGACACAGTTAGTCGAACTAAGTTACTTGGGTCTACAAGTCTGCATCGTCTGGTACGAATGCACCACGTTTACGTTGCTGTAGTTACAAATTAGATAGATAGATAGATAGATAGATAGATAGATAGATAGATAGATAGATAGATAGATAGATAGATAGATAGATAGATAGATAGATAGATAGATAGATAGATAGATAGATAGATAGATAGATAGATAGATAGATAGATAGATAGATAGATAGATAGATAGATAGATAGATAGATAGATAGATAGATAGATAGATAGATAGATAGATAGATAGATAGATAGATAGATAGATAGATAGATAGATAGATAGATAGATAGATAGATAGATAGATAGATAGATAGATAGATAGATAGATAGATAGATAGATAGATAGATAGATAGATAGATAGATAGATAGATAGATAGATAGATAGATAGATAGATAGATAGATAGATAGATAGATAGATAGATAGATAGATAGAATTTTTTGAGCACTGACACAGAACCAACCCCTATCTTATGCAGCGGCGCTCCATATCGATGTGGCAATCCACGACCATGAATACCAGGAGGGACCACTTCGCTTACGACACGTTGATCGGCGTGCTGCTTTAGAAGATGTCGGTGGATCAGCAAACAAGCGTTGTCCAAGTGGCGTGAAAATTTTTGGCAGTCACGCTCAGTATGAGGCAGAACGCACTTCAAACGTTGTCTAATATTAAGCGTCATAAGGTAATTGCAGTTAAACGTATACGTAGAGCGGTAGCGCACATATAATCACGATGGCCGTACCTGACAAAAAAAAATGTTAATAAGCTGACATTGATTCTGCAACAGCTGGCCGTAGTGATTGCTTTCTTCGCTTTAACTTATTTTTCTTTCGCGAGGAAATCAATGTTCAGGCTTACTTAAATAGAACATTGTGAAAGGACGTTCTTTGAGAGGCGAGCCGACGTAAAACCCATGACAGCAATTTGAACGAGACAAGGGCGACGGCCTTTGTGACACCCGGTTGTACGAAGCCTTCGTATACCTATATTCAAAGTATCTCTTCCACGAGCGAATGTACACTTCTAAGTTACTTTTCGCGTCTCTCACGTGCCTTTTAATGCTCCCCTTTTTGCGACCGCCGACCACAAAGCAATAACCCCTCTTTGATCCGAAAAAGGAAGCGCCCTGAGATGTCAAAATGTCGTCCCGCGTTGCTTTGAATGCGCTCGCTCCGTTCTTTCCAACATTTCGACGCAATTTCTAAGGTTTTACTCCTCTCCTGATCTCGTAATCCCTTACCTGCATTAGCACCGTGTGAGTTGCTTCTGTTATTTCCGTAGCGGTCCCTAAACCGCTTAGCGACGTCCTTGCGTTCTCCCCCTTTTTCTCGCTGTGCGCGCCGCAGCGAAAAGGGCGCGCATTCAACGAGGCCGTGTCGGCGCGCCGCACCTGACGCAATTATCTCGGGCGCCAACAATAAAGAAACGGCCGCGCACGCTGGCAGCCGCCGCTGCGAAGCGTTAATGCCGTTAACCTCTCCTCCTTACGTAGACGACCGGGGTCGACGATTGCACTTTTTAAACGCAATTCCCTACTCGCCTACATTACATTACAGTAGAACGCCTCTGTTCAGATTCACTTTCTCGCGTTCTTAATTTTTTTGCATGTGTATACGTTTTTTAAGTATGTAAGGTAACGAAATTTGTTTAAAAATTTCGCGAAAATGGCGTTCACGTCTCTCGGGTGCAGTGCGCGAATGTAATAAACTGTACTTTGAAATAAGTCTCTTTTTTTAATGCAAGCAATTAGAAGCAACCAAGCGATGCTACGGCGTTGTGAAAATTTTTTTCTTCTTTTAAGGAGGACAATGGGAGGGGGGAGGTTATATTATGGTTTGTTCATGTCCGTCTTTTGATGTTAATGTATGTTTGTGCGTGTATATATACACATGCAAGATTGAACATTTTCAAGAGAACAAACTGTCGCCCGCCCAAGAGACGACAGCGAAAATGAGATGCGGAGGCCGGACGATGTATGTGTATACGACCAATGTAAAAAGTAAATGCACGGAGAGGTAAGCGTGGCGGTTGTAAATCTACGGACATTCCAGGAATTCCAAGGACGCAAAGTTGTCTCTTCAAAGCTGTTTTATTGGTTCGCGCTTCCAACATCCACCTTTTCTTCTTGGTCGCTTCCTCCCGCCCGTCTTTTTTTTTTTCAGAATTTTTTCGATTTGTACGTGTGGTCACGAGCCCCAAACAATTTGTGACCGACTAATTTCGTGCTCGGCGTGGTTCGGATTCGCAATCGTTCCCGGGGAAACATCGAGAGAGCGTCGGCCTCCTGGCGACCTCACATCGCCAGCCATCTTTGCTACGCATATATATATATATATATATATATATATATATATATATATATATATATATATATATATATATATATAATATACAATTCGTGAAACTTCGCATGACCTTCTCCGTGAATTTCGCGACGAGAGGTCAGCGTCATATTTTTACATAAATGTGCATCTTGCGCCCGCCTTGTTCTCGATCCCCCATTTTCGTCTTTCTGTTTTTTTTTTTCACTTCGGTTAATGAACTGTGAATCTGGTTTCACAACGAAGAGCTCTTATTATTTTTATTTTTGTTGTTGTTTTTTTCTTTTACACACCTTTTGTGGTGTGCGTGTTCTTCTTTTTATGGTATTTGTAATGTTAAGAAATTTCACACACCCGTCTAAATTTGTCTAGTTCTACATGCCACGCGGTTTGCGAGGGGACGAGTTGCTCTGCACGGACCGCTCATCCTCTTGCTACAATTCCAATAAGTAATATCTATCTATCTATCTATCTATCTATCTATCTATCTATCTATCTATCTATCTATCTATCTATCTGTCTATCTATCTATCTATCTGTCTATCTATCTATCTATCTATCTATCGTTCGACAAATAAGTGATATCTCAGCATAGCTATTCATCTGAAAAACTAAATATGTATGCAAGATGCCTATCCCCTTTTTTTTAATCTCCCTGTTGGTCTGCTTTCGGTTCCTCTAGCCTCAAACAAATATAAGCTTTTTTCAAAGCCGTCTTCAGCGGTTTGTTTGCCCCTTCCCTGTATGTAGTCATTGCACACACAACGTTCGTTTCTGGGACAGCGATGCCACATCTTCCCGTCATCTTCACGCCGTTCGAGAACGCGGCTCGACGTGTGCCGCCCTCTCACCCGTCGAGATGATGGGCGAGAACGACGACGCTTTCGTAATGCTACGGTGACCGAGGGCGGCGTCTACAGGAATTCGCCTACATATACTTGCGCGTGTACCTTGTGTACACAGCACATGTGCGTACCGTGCCATACGGCGACGACGACTGCGACGACGTCGAGGTCTCCGTCGCCGGCGAGCGCGAATATTGTGTGAAAGGAAGGCGAGGGAGTTCCTTTGTCATCTTGGAAGTGAGAAGAAGCGTGGTCTCTCGCTCGCTCACCTTCTACTGCAGCGTTGGTTGGAGAGGCGTCACGGGCCGCCCCGAGCCGACTTTTTCCCCCCCTCTCGGCTTGTTACGGTGTACGCTCAGCCGTTTAATTTTATTTCGATCTCTGGGTTTTTCATTCGCCCGTTGGAGACATCGTGTGTGTCTGAGGCGTTGCTCGCGACGATAACCCCGCGAGAACGCAAGCGTGTTACTTTGGTTGACGCCGAGTGGTTGGTCGGGAGCGTTTCGTTCTCTCCGTGGAGCTCATCTCCTCCGCGTGATAACCAAGGTGCGAGTTGGATTCAGAGGAGCTCCCGAACACTGTGGTTGGCCACTTGCGGCGCGCTATCGCGGTGAACTGTTTTGTCTTTTTTTTTTTCCTGAGACGTGAACTTCAGTGCCACGCAGTGCCCAGCAGGTATTCTGTGGAGCGTCGCTTGAACAAAGGTAGGCCCACCGACGAAAACATTGATTTTCCAGAATTATTCGCATGTGTTTATGTTTTTTTATCAATTCAAGGCCCTAAGAGATTAATATAGAGAAACGGGAAGGGCGTAATAGCGAGTTTTCACACAGGCACCTCAGTCACGTTGGTTCCTCAAATAAGTAGCGTCAAAGCCACTGCGCATGCGCGAGACTCAAACGGGGTTTTGGTTTGCGTTGGAGACTATTTCTCGAATTTAGCGGGAGCCGCAAAGCCTGTGCCAAAAGGTTTGCGTCAGATAAACGAGATATCACCCACCGGCATCCACTGCTCTCGATCAGTACTAGAGTGACATGAATTAGGGATGTGTCCGAAGCACCGCAGACCCTATTCGAAAGCCCTTATATCCCCTGCTTGAACCAAAGCGAGCATGCGCAATGGGCACCCCGCCGCGGTGGTCTAGTGGCTAAGGTACTCGGCTGCTGGCCCGCAGGTCGCGGGATCGAATTCCGGCTGCGGCGGCTGCATTTTCAATGCAGGCGAAAATGCTGTAGGCCCGTGTGCTCAGATTTGGGTGAACGTAAAAAAACCCCAGGTGGTCGAAATTTCCGGAGACCTCCGCTACGGCGTCTCTCATAATCATATGGTGGTTTTGGGACGCTAAACCCCACATATCAATCAAATCGAGACGCAATGGGCTTTGCGGCACTCAACTTTTGGTACACCTATTATAAAACTCCCTATTTATGTGTAACGTTAAAACTGTGCGTGAGCGTTATAATCCGAAGACAAGGATGAGAAGAACGTGCCCTCTCAACCTTCATTTACTTATTCCTTCGTATCCGAGGAATCCGATCAGGATATGTGGCAAACGGGGAATCCGTGTTTTGATAAGTGCGTGACCAGAAACACGAAAAAATTATATCTGACATCCGCAACATGTACGTTGTGCGTGATGTCACTGCACAACGTGAAGCACTTGCGCTCCTGCCAAAAACTCGCTCTTGCCGCACACACGCGGAAAAATACCGCAGGTGGTACTTTTACGCATCACACGCGTTTGATTCTCTGGAGATACGGCGTAAAACTGGCAAATATAGGCGGGACATAGTCTTATCACACGTCCGGCTTCTTCCTGCTTCTCTTAATTCTTTTAAGCCTGAAACTCGTTTCGAACAGAAGCAACGCGAGGCTTGCATACATAGTCTTCACGCGACATACTCTGCCGAAACGTTTTTATTTGCGGTACATTAATTCGTGGCGCTTGTGTATGTGTGTAGCGTGAATTTGTATGAAATTGGCACGAATACCCGTTTGACTTGCCACAAGCTTTACATAAGATTAACGTGCGATTATAGAACTGGGGAGGGGAAAAGGGGCAAGTCTTAGTATATAAATTAGCTTACACTTTAGGTACGTTTGCTGCGCCGTGATGGACGCGAGGCGTGCTTTTCTATATGAGTGGCAGGGGGTGGGGGGCATTTTCTTGTAAAAAATAAACTATATATGTATGTATGTATGTGTATATATATATATATATATATATATATATATATATATATATATATATATATATATATATATATATATATATATACATACATACTTGTGCTAAACGTTCCAACCCGCACTTAAGCCTTTGTTAAATTTATCTTTGTGTATACAGTGGCATGGTTCCTTAATGCATAAGACTTCTCATTTACCACAAAGTGCACGACAATACAAAGTTAATCATTCATCAATAGAGGGAAATAATTAAAAGTAAGAGACAGGGAGGTTAACCTAGACGAACTGGTTTGCTACCCTGTACGGGGGTGGGGAAAAGGGTCGGAAAGAGGATAGATATAGAAAGAGATAAAATAAATTAGGAAAAAAAAACCACATGCACACACATTCAGGGAGTTCCGATCACAGTCGTTTGGACAGGCCGGTTGAACGCAAGAAGCGCAGGAGCGCCTTCACAGCCTTCTTCTGCGACATAAAGTCCTGTTGGCAGCGCAGGAGTCGTTCTTCCGAAACAGGCTCATTCTCCAGTTCATCTAGTGCATTGCAGAGTGACTGTCTCTGCGAGCAGTATTGTGGGCATTCACACAGAATGTGCCAAGTTGTTTCATCACTGCCACAATGGTCACATGCAGCAGTGTCAGCCATTCCTATGCGGAATGCGTACGCATTGGTAAATGCGACGCCCAACCATCATCATTCATCAAAAAGTTTACAAAACGTCATGGTATGAATGAAAGATCGATCACAAAGTCATAAGAGTATTGTAGGGCCCCGTAGCGCATGTCCTATCCGCAAAAGTCGTGTGCATGGTCACGTTCGCGAACTGTGAGTAGTTGTGTGACAGATCACCGGGCTAACTAGGTTAGTTATTTGGGCTTGACGGTTTTGCATGATGCTGGGTGAAAGCACGTAACACAATAACAGACGTGAAGCTTGACACACACGAGCGCTGCTCGTGTATGCCAAGCTTCTTCTCAGTTTTCGTCTTAAGCGCTTTCATCCCGTATAGCACACCAAGCTAACATCTCCGGGAATTTCATTGAATATTGTTTATTTCTTTCTCGGAATAGTAGGATAGGCTGAGTCTCCCACAAGACCCATGCACTTCCTTAAGTACAAGTACGTCTATATGAAAATAACGACATTTGTGCCACTTCTTAACAGCCCCTTTCACCTTGAATAGTTGCCAGATTGGTGTCAGAAAGACACGAGGATTAGCGGTGCCGTGACCTCGTTTCTTCGTGTATAGGGGAGTTCGGTACGTTTGAAAAAGCCTGACTTGAGATTGCTGGATCACCAAGGTTGGAATTACCAAGCACTCGTGCTACAAATGTCCTGTCCAGCAATCCAAACGAGACAGTAGTTCGTCAGAAGATGGAGGCTCGGAGTGTTGAGAAATCATTGAGCAGGATATGTCGCTGCGGCCGACGTTTCGACAAATGTACTTACCTTTGCCTTTGTCAACTGCTTTCCTTGCGCACACGCTTCTTAGACAGAAAGATGCCACTTTCCTTAGCAACCAAGCGTTTACACTTGGGTTAGTTAATTAGGGTGGATACTGTGAAACATTGTACTGGTGAACAAAGATATGGGCAGGATAGGAAGAAGCACACAAGGCAAGGCCAGCGTTTCTGTCATTGTGTATTTTTATTGTGTCCATACTGTTCGCCACTACAAAGATTCGCAGTATTCTTTAGCAGTGATGTCACCATGAATAATAGACAAGTCTACTTGAAAAAACATTGCCACCAATGGCACTCTCGGTCCCGCAATCCAAGCCAACAATACAAGGTTCTATAAGAGTACAGCTACGTTTATTTTATCTTTAACGATTAGTTTTCGACTGCTGTACTTAACTGGTTGCACGAGATGGCTTTATCTATTAGTGTGAGTCAACATGGCTTTTCTATTGTCGTCTGTGCCCCAGGTGGTCTAAATTTCCGGAGCCCTCCACTACGGCGTCTCTCATAATCATATAGTGGTTTTGGGACGTTAAACCCCACATATCAATCAATCTATTGTCGTCTGTGACCTTTATCACGTGACATCCATCTTCTATATATCGAATATTTATAACGAAAAGCGACTTATTTTTGTCTGGCAACCAAAGAAGCTTCAGCAACCGGAGATGTTTGAAATGCCCTCGCATGCCCCATTTCGCTACATTGAGTCAACATTTTACAGAAAACTGTTGAACAGTATCGGTTCTTAAGCAATTGCTCTGCGTTCGTTCGGCGCTCACCGACCGGATAAGGGGGTGCTGTATTTCGAAAGAGACGCCAACCAGCCCCATAAATTTGTGACCTACGCTCGTGACCTGAGCACCAATGAAGTGGCGTTCCGCCGAAAGGCTGGCTAACTCAAGAAAAAAAATATACGTTTAACTTTGGAATAGTTATTCCATGACAAGTGCCGTCTTCTGTTAGCTGTTCACCGTTGCACTCGGTTACTAAGCAGGATTGTATACGTTAGGAAAGTGTGGCAAACAAATAAAACAGTTGCACACTTTGAATATTTCCATTGGACGCCTGCAGCATTACAGCGAAATCTTGACAGCCTGTATTCATGCAATTTGATGAAGAGCCAATCCATACTTCGTGCAAACAAAAATAATAAAAAGCTGATTCCGGCTTTTTTTTTTAGTTAGTGGTAATAGAGAAACGTGAATTATATGACGTTTAGTCATTTTGCATACGTTTTTTCGTACGAATAATTTATTCGCTGGAATAGAAGGTATAGTGCAAGTTAATTATTTTCCGTGAGCACCACTGAAAATATTATTTCGTCAGTGTGCACTGAATGCGGTACGTGCAATGTCCGTTCTTCTTGTTAGGTTGGTTGTGTCTATTGTGACACTGGTCTGCGAAGTAAAATACAGCTGAAAATTGAGCTCGGTGTACTATTTTTGTTACCGCTGAACATAGCTGAGGCAAAGTGGTCGGTACGCCACATTGTGACTATTACAGAAAATTAGAAAGAAAGAACAGCACACCGCTGCAGAAGAGCTACGAGGTGTTCATTACAAAAATAAATAAATAAATAAATAAATAAGTACGTTACAAATAAATACTAAATGAATAAATAAATAATGTAAGCGTAATAGCTAACTAACTAAATAAAACGATTAGAATTCTTCTCGCTGACATTACGGAAAACAGTACTGCATAACTTCTTGAACACCCAAGGCGCTCTATAAAAAAGGTCACTTTTAACCCTGAAGGATCATAAGCATAAGATCATTGATAGTAAATCTTTGCGAGAGTCTATATCAGCGTGAGTCTTCTGTTGCTGCATTTTTTGTGACCTTTCGCTTGCCTTCACTGAGGAACATCGAAGTTCGATATTTGAGCAGAAAATAATAAGGGGGGGGGGGGGCGTCTTATAATAGGTTTCAGTGGTTTGCATTCTCGGCATGAATGCACTCAGAAATACATATACCTTACTCTTTTCTGCGAGTCCTGAAAGGGCCGCAACGCACGTGTGAATCGTTCCGTCTCCATCCCTTTTTACAGGTGCG